GGGTGTCTCCCACTCTGCCCCTAGAACGTCGCTGTGCCCCAGGGCAGTCTGCAGGGGACTGGGGCCTCAGCTTTTCCTTTGAGGAGGACAGGTCTGATCAGCCAGACTCTGCTGATTGTTTTGGAATCCTAGCAACTTTGAGGTTCAGCCTCTAGTTTGAAACTTCTGCTGCCAAACACAAATCTGAAAACAGGGATAGTTGCTTAAGGTCATTCCTACCTGTTTTGAGTGACACTGTACTAAAGCCTCCTTTCCTTTTGTTGGCAAGGATAGGATCCTGGAGAAGAGAGAGTAACTGTCAGAACACTTCATAAAATCGCGTTTCTGAGGCATGGGGCACCCGAGTCCGGGGTAGCAAGGAAATGTGGTGATGAGGCTGCTGCCTGGCTGGGCCCAGAGTCGTCCCCAGGGAGGGGCACAGCGAACCAATGGGAAGTTGCTGGTGTCCCGCCAGCCTGGTGTCAGGAGTGTCCTTACTGTCCCCACACAAGGGGCCTTGGCTGCTGTGGACAGATGGGCAGGGATTAGGGTCCGGGGCAGCGTCGATATCTGAGAATTCAGCTCTGGCATCCTGGGTGGGGATTTTGAGTACATTTCCCAAAGCCATCGATGTCACGCCCAGCCGTGCCTTTTCATGTTATTTATGTTATTTATGTATTTATTTATTTATGCCCTGCCTTGCTCACGGAAAGGGATTAAGGCAGCGATGCTTGGCTTTTGATGTTCTGTTTTGATCTTTGCCAAGGTTCCGTCAACACACACCTGTCAGGTGATTTTGAAAAGAGAGGACAGTTAGCAGTTTCCTCACGTTGACTGTGTTTCCGTTTTCAGGCTTAAGTGCCGTCCTATTTTCTTTTTTCCCTCTCCCACGAATTGGTTCCGTAAATACAGGTTGGGGCAGAAGGAGGAGAGGAACGTGCCGTGCCGCGAGCGTGGGCCTGAGCAAAGGGAGATCGGCCCGAGAGAGACGCGCTTTGTGCTTTTCCGCTCCCTGCCGTGTGGCCCGGGCAGGTCCCAGGTGACGTGGAGGCTGTGCTCTCACACTGGCAGCCGGTTGACTGTGCCTTCCCACGGGACTTGGTGAGGACGCGTGGGAGAGCGTGTGATGGCACTTTGTGCATGAGCAGTCCCTGTGACTGTAAACTGCTCTCCCTGTGACTGTTGTCCTTCTTCTCAGCGGATATGCGTTAGAGGTGATGATGGTGCTGAAGAGTCTGTGACCTTGGGGATCGGGCTTGTCCTTTGTGTCCCATGGGGCAACGAAGGTCATGGGAGCCCACAGCGTAGGCCTTGGCACAGGGGGTTCTGGGCAGGTCACAAGGATAAGGACATGTGTTAAATAACGTACAAAGTCAAGTTTATTCGACCTAAAGGATCATATTTTATTTTGAGATAATGACCTTCCTAATTTGGGTGATAAAATGTACTTTTATGTATTCAAGGAGATAATAGAGGGCAATATTTTTATTTTTTAAAATGCTCTTGGTTATAATATATTGGCTGCTCTTTGTTAAGCCCCAGAATTTCTTTCTAAGTTTGCCAGTCTCTTAGGTCTCAAAGTCAGGGAACCGCGGTCTAGCTATGGTGTGTGTTTACATGGTGATGAGAAGTCCTCTCGGACTCTTCAAACAGCCTATACGTTGTTGACGGGAGGGCATCACAGCATTTCTGCTGCCCGCTGATCTCAGGATCACCACGTGCGGCGTTAGGAAGGGCGTGCTTACGTCCTGGCAGTGACGGAAGCTCCCTGTGGTGATAGGCCTCTGGCCTTTTCCTGGGTCTGTGAGAAGCACCCCCGGGAAGTTTTGCGTGGCCTTCTCAGGCCTTCTCAGCGACGACTGCCCTTACCTCAGGCCCTGGGGGCCTGTGGCACCGCTGAATGTTGGTGACGACGCTAGTGGTGGGTCTTGTGCCTGCTGGGCACTCAGCGACCAGTCCTGAGGGGTCTGGATTCCCTTCCAGCTTGTGTCTGCTCGCTGGAAGTGCCTCATTTGGCCATGTGACCTCTGTCTCTGGCTTACTCATTCATCCTCCCCTCCACCCCCAGCCTGACCCCCTTGGTGTGGAGTAGAGTAACTGATGTGCACTCATTAATGGTTTGTGGGATTGTGTCCACGGAGGGACGTGCGGATTTTGAAGTGGAGGGTAGTGACGTACACAACATATACTAGAAGTTCTGGGCAGACAATCAGCTGGAGGAGTGAGGCAGGGAGAAGGGGTGACTTCTGTTGCCTTAACACGTAATTGCTCAGTGTCTGGAATACGTGGGGATCTTTTTTTTTTAAGTTGTTTTGCTTCCAGATGTGCACAAATGCATTTGGAGTATGGTGGGTGTGCACACAGCTTTCCCGTACGTACGACACCACAGCAGCGTCCCTGCTCGGCTCCGTTTGCACGACTCCCGGTGCTTGTGGGTGTTGGGCACAAGAGTGTGACACGCAGGGGGCCAGTGTCCCTGGAGGCGTGCTGCAGGGTGTGTTCACCGTGGCCTGCTTCTCCCTTCCGCTTTGGTGATGAATGAGTGTCCCCCGCAGCAGCGGGGACCGTGACT